CGGCCGTGCTGCCCTGCCGGGCACAGGGGTGGCCCGTGCCCCGGGTGACGTGGCGCAAGGACGGCCAGCTCCTGCCCCTGCCCGGGAGTGACAGGTATGAGCCTCTGTGAGTTGGTGGCACCAAGAGATGGCTCTCAGGTCGTGCCACCCTCCACAACCATAGGTGATTAGTGTGCCAGTCACGCTGTGAATTGCTGCGCTGTCCTCACACCAGCTTAGGGCAAGAGCTGTGTGTGGCTGCAGTGGCACTTGTCACCTTCCCAGCCCCTGCTCCCTGTGTGATGCAGCCTGGCCATGCAGAGCCCTCTCAGGGTTCACCTGCTCTCCCTCCTCAGATTGCAGCTCCTGCCAGGTGGCTCCCTGCAAATTGACCCTGTCCAGGCCCAGGATTTGGGCCATTACCTCTGCATGGCATCCAGCCCTGCTGGCTCTGACCGGCGTGGCCTGGACCTGCACGTGCTGGGTGAGCAGGAGAGGCAGATGGATCCCCCTGGGCTCCCCCTCCTGCAACCCAGCACTGCTCATGGCGGCCATGCCCTCCCACAGTCCCTCCTGCCATCACACCTGGGCCCTCCAACCTCACCCTGCTGGCTCAGCAGCCAGCCACGCTGGGCTGTGACGCCTGGGGGTCCCCTGAGCCCCACGTCAGGTGGGAGAAGGATGGCCATCCCCTGAGCCTGCACCTCCCACCCGGCACCTACAGGTACCTGTTCCCCTCTAGGGTGGGGTTTGCCCCTCCTGCTGCTCCCTGGGGTACAGGGGTGATGCTGATGTGTGCTCTGCCCGCACAGTTTGCAGTCCTTGGGGTCTCTGCTCATCTCCAGCCCCACTCCCAGGGATGAGGGCAGGTTTGAGTGCATCGCCACCAACGCTGCTGGGGAGGCTCGAAAGGCTTTCCTCGTGTCTGTGCATGGTGAGCTCCTGGGGCTGGGGGTCTTGCTGAGAGTCTTTCCCAGGGTCTGTCACCACCTTGGCTGTGGCATGGGTGTGCTCCAGCCCCACGCTGGGTGGGTGCCCACCCAGGAGCTGGGCTTGGGGGTGGACAAGAGGGAAAGAGAAATACTCATGTCCATAAGAAAAGGGACAGAATCCTCTTCAACAATTTGCCATGCAGCCCTGCCCACCTCCTGTGACCGTGTTCACAGGGGTCTCAGGATGAGGGAAGAGACAAGGATCTGACTCCATGTTTCAGAAGGCTTGATTTATTATTTTATGATATATAGTATATTAAAACTATACTAAAAGAATAGAAGAAAGGATTTCATCAGAAGGCTAGCTAAGAATAGAATAGCAAAGAATGATGACAAAAGTTTCTGTCTTGGACAGAGA